GCCAGAGGAGCAGGTGCTACCCAAGAATGAAATGCATTAAAATATGCTGAAGACATCACTCACTCACCTTCAGGGCCACACTGCGCTGGATTGCTAATGCAGGAAGCCTTGTCCCTGTCGTAATAGAGGACCGTGACCCCCTTTCTCTCTTTGAAGTAAACGCCTTTGTTGACCTTCCCTTCTACCATCTCTAAGCAAGAAAAATGACAACATCATGTGTTAATAACTTCATGAGATTAAAAGTCTAAAGACACGTTTCAGACTCGCTATAACTTACATATACGTGTACAGTATTACTTATCTTTGTAATTATAATTTTTAATATTGTATATTAGTCTAAAATATTAACAGTAATGATTAATATTTAACGAATTAAATTATAAATAATTTATGTCTATTGAAGTGTTAGATAATAATATTATATTCTATGAATTATGATGTTAGTGTTAATATGCATTATAATATAATGATATTATAATTATTGTATGTGCCAACAGTTGAGTGACCGGGTTACATGGTTGTCATCTCCTATTGTTCTGAATTTTTGTTGCATCGACATGCTTTATGAGTGCTTCCCACCCNGAGATTAAAAGTCTAAAGACACGTTTCAGACTCGCTATAACCTACATATACGTGTACAGTATTACTTATCTTTGTAATTATAATTTTTAATATTGTATATTAGTCTAAAATATTAACAGTAATGATTACTATTCAACGAATTAAATTATAAATAATTTATGTCTATTGAAGTGTTAGATAATAATATTATATTCTATGAATTATGATGTTAGTGTTAATATGCATTATAATATAATGATATTATAATTATTGTATGTGCCAACAGTTGAGTGACCGGGTTACATGGTTGTCATCTCCTATTGTTCTGAATTTTTGTTGCATCGACATGCTTTATGAGTGCTTCCCACCCACCCCTATCTTCACACTGAACTTTCTAAGTGAAATATTTTAGTAAAAGTTTGAACATAAAACTACAGCTGAACTCCATCTTCTTTTGAGTTGTAATTGAAAGCCCCTAAACCTAGCCATGTGAACCCATGATTTTAAAAGAACCCATTTTCAGACTCTGGGACGAAAACCCACAGTTACATTTTGAATAGTCCCAGAAGAGGCTGCCAATTACAAGGCCACCGGCCATAAATCCTGGTTTGGATGCCCTGCTCCATCCAGCCATCATGCTTTGTCCTGTTCCCATAGCAAATGTATCTGATGGTGAGCGTGGCAGGTGAATGGTTTACAGAATAGATAAGTGAAGACTATAAAAAGCAAGAGTGATTAGGCATTTATTATTAACTGGGGTCATAGTCACTCAGATATCTTCACTAGCATAGAGACTGGGGAGAAGAATGCTTGTTGCCCTGGGACCTATCGACCCAGCTCAAGGCATACACCAGAGCTACTGGGGTCTTTTGACCCAACCACGACCCCAGCTCAGCCTTTCTATCTTCCACTGTCATGTGGATAACCAACTCAAGGGGCATCAATGTTTTTTCTTACTGTTCTTAAACTCATTATTTTTTTATTCATCCCATTTGTTGCTAGGGAAGATCTATATATTACAAAGTTAAATGGATAACTAGCAGTTGCATAATTGAGTTAGGCTATAGAATCCCCTAAGCCAGACTGTTTGATTGGCAAAATTAATTCTGGAAGCCAAACAGCTCACAGGTGAAAGAGCAATCAGGTTATGTGTTGAGAAAAGATCAAAGGGTGAGATCTACATGATCAGATCTGGCTTTCTACACTATTCAGAGAAATACCACAATTGCTATTATCCCTTTTGCTTTGAGCTACATGGGGAAAATACAAGGGTACTTCAAAAAGATTGTGGGAAAATTGAATTAAAAAGATAATACAATCCTTCCATGAACTTTTCGAAGACCCTTCGGATGAACCATATGGAGGTTATTAAATAAGACAGTAATTTAATCATGACTGGTGAGCATTTCATAAAACAGCTTCTAATTTTTTTTAATTGTTTCAGAAGAAATCCTGATGTTAATGTTTGTAAGAGATCAGATTTTTGATGAGGTACTTTAAAATTAACTTTCATTTTCCATTAAAAGGGAAAAAAGAATATAACTCATTTAAATATCCAAACAATTTCTATGTTTACAAAAGATCTCATCTTGTGTTTGTTTTGCTCTAGAAGCAAGCAGCTGGTTTAGAAGATCTTGATTAACTTCAAAGAATAGACACAATTTCTAACATATTGCCTTTTCTGATACTTCCTTTTAACATCCTGGGTCTGCTGTTCTTTACTTGGATATTTGCCCGTTTGCTAGCCAAGATTCAGTGAATTCATATACTACCAAATTGAATGTCATTGCAGAGCCAAACTCGACAGAACGTAGAACAAAAGTATGTAAATGCTCACCTACAGTTGCAGAGAAATTTGAGTAGGCAGAGTCATTGGTATATACAAAGGCAGAATTATGGGAAGGAAGCACAGTGAGGTTGCGGGTTCGTAATGCTGGGTAAAACAACAAAAGAGAAAAGCACAACACATGAGTGAGACAAAAAACAAATGGAACTGACATATCTCTCAACCTGTGCATGCATCAGGAAGGCTCCTTTCCTCCAAGGAACATCTCGGATTTTCTCCTTCAACCTCACCCCTCTACACCCTCCACTGCCCTCCCATTTGTTCAGTCAACATCCTGGACAACTCCAGTGGCCTGGCTGAGTCCCAAAGCCAGGGCATGACTGCAGCAGCTCCAATCTGCTGGCTCCAACTCATACACAGAAATTTAGTTGAGAGATATGAAATTGAACTTGGCCATTCATAAAATAGCCTTAACAAAAGGATTAATGGTTCTAATGTCACAAGGACTGATGAGACGGAAACACAGCGTGAAAATGACTACGTGAGATCATGACAAATGGACAAAACAGCAGAGAGTTCGACAACAAATAACAAGGATGCATGAACATGGAATGATTTCCAAGGTCATTCAACCATCTCCAGCAACAAGATGTGCTGATGGATTCTGTTCTTTTCTTTTTTCCTTTAAGAAGCCTGCAATCAAATTGAAATATGCCAGAATAGCATTATAACATAAAGAACGAATCCAGTGAGAAAGTGCAGTGAAGCCTTCAACGTTCCAGCATTTGGGGACAAACACTAATATATTTAGAGTTTTACTGGAAGTCAATACCTTCAGTGAACAAAATATGACCACAGTGTAATTGTATCTGAATAATTATATCACTTTATGAGAAGGAGTTGTCATAGACAAAGGTTTTCAAAACATCAAGAATTACTGATTTAATCTACAACAACGAGCTCAGATGAACAGGTGAGGAAAGAAATATACTGATAGGTATTCAGGCTCTAGTTTTTTTTTTCAGATTTATTGAAGTATAATTGAGAATTAAAAATTGTATGTATATACAGTATAAGGTGTACAACTTGATAATTTGCTATTTGTATACATTATGAAATAATCACAACAATCAAGCTAATTAACATATTTATCACCTCATGTAGTTACCATTCTGTGTGTGTGTGTGCGTGTGGTGCCAACATTAAAATTATAACCAGGGAAAGTGGTTTATTTTAACCCAAACCAGTCACATAACAAACTTGTACAGGGACTTTTTCTATCCCTACAGTGCAAACTGTTTGGAGAAAGTATCAAGCTATAGGATGGTTTTTGACTGTGGCCATCTCTGCTTCCCCTTGACGGGGCTCCCATGGTAAGCACAGACTCCAGCTCTAATGCTTCTCAATTCACAGATTTTAAGGAAACAGTTTAGAAATTTCAGTTGAGATTTCCAGCAGCACATTAAATCATAGGAGTAATAAAAATACCAGTGTGTTGGTGTGGAAAACATAGTAATCAGCAATATGTAGGTTTTGGGTTTGTTTTAACGCATGACACAGAATCGGGACAGAAACGATTTGAGCATGTGCTAGGATCATTGGATACATCAGCCATTTGACTTAATCAGGAGCAATAAGTAAATACAAATAAAAATGTGAAACCATCCCAAAACATTCAAAACTTATATTTTAAAAATGGTTCTTAATGGAATGAAGAAAATGCTCAGGAAGATTCTGGGTTTCTCCTACCACCAAATATCTGAATTAAGTCAAATAGAGACACTATTTTCTGTGGAATTGGATACCACTGGCAGCATCTTAAGCAATGTCTAATCTTTTCAAAGGGGAACTGACGTGTGGAGAAGCTGGTTGGTAGGTGAGGGGACCTTTGCAACTGAAGCAGGGACCCCACGATCATGTGAGTTAGTCTAAGTGGGTACAGTCTTTGGCACTTGCTTCGAAAGGGCCCCAGCTCTGCAGGCATATAGACTATGCCAGCTTTTTCTACCTAAAAAATATACCCCTGGACTCGTAGGAGATAAATCCATCATAGCAGCTGCTGTCCACCAAGGTTGTTGGGGAAAATGCACATTATAATCACATTTTGAATCACAAATTCTGCCCCATACTCTTCATAAACATACATGAAACTTCTAGTAAATTGTCTTGAATTAACAACTGTCCTGAGTTAACAAATATTAGGGGAAACTACATGAATATCTGTCCACCTCCATCGTCCTGGCTTCAAAGCAGACACTGTTCACTGGGTTTCTGCTGATAGCCTTCAGCTGAGGCCACCCAGAAATAAGAAACAAGAATAAAAATAACTTACAAAGAGGGGACACTAATATCCACACTGTGCCCGGTGTTGCTTCAGGTGCTTTACAAGCACTTCCTCATTTTGTTCTAATAATAATCTGTAAGATCATTGTCATCTTAGCCTGTTTGTGAAGACGAGGAATAAAACTCTTGTTCGGCATCCCACGGCTAGCTAGTTTTAGAGCACTGCTCACTCACAAGCTTTCTGAGTTTAACCCTGGTCCTCCCACCGTTCCCCTCTGTGTCCTGCTGAGGGTCACCCCTTCCCACAGCTGCAGTGATTCCCAACACCCGCGTCTACCTTCACTTGCATCCTGAAGCTCATGAATCCCGTCCACATTTTCCAATGGCCAGTAATGGGAAGCTGAAGCCAAGACCTCAAACCCTTGGGGGAAAAAAAGAATAAAAACTTAAAGTCACCATTAGGAAGGAAAGAACCGAAGTTAAAGAACTGCTTACCATACACTTTATGAATTGGAGGAAAAGTATCACAGCAACTATGGGAGATATTGAAAAGGCATCTGATAAAATACACATTCTTGGTTGAAAAAAAAAGGCCTCTTACAAGTAGAAATCGATGAGTTTTTCCTTAACTGGATAAAACAGGATCAATAGGAAAACAGCGAAACAAAAGCCATGGTGCTTAATGGAGGAACACTGGAAGAGCACCCACTAGTGTCAGGAAAAAGACAAGAGCGTCTGTTGTCCCACTATTATTTAACCTTGTTTTAGAGGCAATAGCTGATGTAATCACACAACAACAACAACAACAAAGGTTAAAATAATTTTAAAAGAGGAGAAAACTAACATCAGCATTGTGCCAGACATTGTTTGAGGAACTTTACAAGTGCTTCCCATTTAGCTCTAACAATAATCTACAAGACAATTGCATTCTCAGGCTACGTGTAAAGACAAGGAATAAAATTCTTGCTCAAAATTACACAGCTAGCTGGGTTTAGATGCAGTACTCACACGCAAGCCTTTCTGAGTTTAATTCTTGTCCTTCTATTGTCCCTCTGTGTTTCTTCCACACTAAAATCACTCATTTCACACTTTCCCTTATGATCTTTGTTCATTGAGTAGACATATGTTTATGCAGATATACTATTTTCTATTCAGTTATTCTCACTTAATACATGAATTATTTGATTTATTCACTTCTGGCTAGCCTTCACAATCAAGTTTGGGTAATATTTCCTTCAGTGGCTGCCCCATAACATAATTAACCACTCTCCCACTGATGAACAATCAATAGTTTCCCATTTTACTCTTGTAGGTAACTCTAACATAAGCAGCTTTGTGCATATAATTTTAATCTTCTCTTGGATTATTCCCCTGTGATTACTTCTCAGAAGTGGAAATAATGGTCCAGATGAGTAAATACTAACCACAGCCCTAAATTTCTGCTCGTTCATAGGAAAGTTAAACTTAATAAAGTAATCTTTGTGTTATTCATAGTTAAAAAAAAAAACTTTTTAAAGAGGAGATAATGTGATCATTATTTTCAAATGATGTATGCCTGATAACCAAAGTGAAAAACGATTACAAATAAGAAAAGAATTTAGTAAGTAAAAAACTATTCCAAACAATAAATGAATTTTGCAAGAAGGCTCATACAAATTAAATACACAAATGACAATAGCTTTTCTGTATTCCAAAAATAATGCTAAAAAATATAGAAGAAAAGTTCTCATTTATAAATGCAGCCAATAAAGAAAAAACATTTAAAAACAAAAGAGGGAATCAAGGGCAAATGGCAGACTAGAGGTGCCCAACGCACGAACCTCTCACAGAAGAGAACCAGAGCAAGAAAAGGACGGCCAAGTATGGTGGAGAGTATCAGTGGGAGAGCCTGGGAGGGCAGGGTGAGCCTGCTGAAGACCCTGTAGAGCATGAAAACCAAGCAGAGAGGTGTAGAGGAGAAAGAGGCATGCAGCTTCAGCCACTGCCACATCTCCCAAACCAGGGTGAGCCATGAGGAATTCTCCCTTGCAGCGGAAATAATCTGCTTGGCTGCAATCGCTTCCCAGTAGTAACCCTCCTCTTGCTCCTGCCCCAGCCTGACCCCTGCACCACTTCGGTTGCCTGTGCTATTGTCTAGTCCCAGAGCTGTGGCCCTTCTTCCACACTTGAGTTCATCCTGAGCAGCACATCCCGCCATATGGTCCATGTTGTCCATGTGGTGCTGGGCACCTGCATCGCAGCTCTTAAAAAAAAAAACTTTTTAAAGAGGAGATAATGTGATCATTATTTTCAAATGATGTATGCCTGATAACCAAAGTGAAAAACGATTACAAATAAGAAAAGAATTTAGTAAGTAAAAAACTATTCCAAACAATAAATGAATTTTGCAAGAAGGCTCATACAAATTAAATACACAAATGACAATAGCTTTTCTGTATTCCAAAAATAATGCTAAAAAATATAGAAGAAAAGTTCTCATTTATAAATGCAGCCAATAAAGAAAAAACATTTAAAAACAAAAGAGGGAATCAAGGGCAAATGGCAGACTAGAGGTGCCCAACGCACGAACCTCTCACAGAAGAGAACCAGAGCAAGAAAAGGACGGCCAAGTATGGTGGAGAGTATCAGTGGGAGAGCCTGGGAGGGCAGGGTGAGCCTGCTGAAGACCCTGTAGAGCATGAAAACCAAGCAGAGAGGTGTAGAGGAGAAAGAGGCATGCAGCTTCAGCCACTGCCACATCTACCAAACCAGGGTGAGCCATGAGGAATTCTCCCTTGCAGCGGAAATAATCTGCTTGGCTGCAATCGCTTCCCAGTAGTAACCCTCCTCTTGCTCCTGCCCCAGCCTGACCCCTGCACCACTTCGGTTGCCTGTGCTATTGTCTAGTCCCAGAGCTGTGGCCCTTCTTCCACACTTGAGTTCATCCTGAGCAGCACATCCCACCATATGGTCCATGTTGTCCATGTGGTGCTGGGCACCTGCATCGCAGCTCTAGCCTTCCAACCACCTGTGCATCCCAGGCCACCTACATGACTCCAACCACCAGGCCACCAGTGCAGCCCCACCTGCCCATGTAGGTCCCACTGCCCATGTGGCCCCACCCATCCATGTGGGCCCAGCCATCTAGCTGACCTTGCAACCCCAACCACCTGGCCACTCATGCAGCTCCACCAGCCCACATGACCCCAACTGACCAGCCACCCATCCACATGGGTGCAGCCATCCAGACACCCATGCAGCTCTACCCACTCATATGGGTACATCCGTCAAGCCACCTGCATGGCCCCAGCTTCCCTGGCTTTCCACACAGCCCCCCACCCACCTATGTGATCTTAGCTGTGCACATAGCCCCTGCTACAGACATAGCTGCTGGTGTCCCCTGGAAATACTGAGTCTACCTAGAACTACTGAGTTTACCTGGAACCACTGAGTCTACCTGGAACTACTGAAACTACTGAGCCTACGTGGTACCAAAACTAAAACACCCCACCCAATAGGCAATATATAACAAATCTATAGGAGGGAGTCACTCTCCTCAAATGTGCATTAAAGTAATACAAGAAGCAACCACCAGATGACTAGGCATCAACTAGAAATGTGAAAAAACAAGAAAATATGACACCACCAAAGGAACACTATAATTCTCAACTACCAGACCCTAAACAACATGAAACCCTCAATAGGTCTGAAAGGAAATTCCAAGTAACAATCTTAAAGAAACTCAGTGAGATCCTAGAAATCTCAGACAACACAATGAAAGAGAAAAGCAATCCAGGACATGAAGGAGGAAATTTATGAAGAGATAACTACCATAAAAAAGACTGTAGTGGAACTCCTGGAACTGAAAGACTCATTAGACAAAATAACAACTACAACTCAGAGCATAAGAAGCAGGCTATAGCAAGGAGAAGAAAGAATTTCTGATCTTGAGACAGTCTCTTCAAAATAACCCAAGCAGAACAAAAAAAAAAAAAAGAAAAAGAAAAGAAAAGAAAAAAAAAAAAAGAAAGAAAGAAATGAAAAAGAAAAGAAAAGAATAAAAAAATGAAGAAAATTTAGAGAGCTAGCGGGCTACCTTAAGCACACAAACATTTTAATCACGGGTGTTCCAGAAGGGGAGGAGAAAGGAAAAGGTATTGAAAACATACTCAATGAAATAATAGTGGAAAACTTCCCACGTATTGGTAGAGACATGGACTTCCAGATCCAAGAAGCTCAAAGATCTGCAACATTCAATACAAAAAGGTCCTTTCTGAGACACATTGTAGTCAAACTGTCAAAAGTCAAAAATAGATAATCCTAAAAACAGCAAGAGAAAAGCATCAAGTCATCTCTAAGGGAGTCACCATCAGACTGACAGCAGATTTCTTAACAGAAACCCTACAGGACAGAAGAGAATGGGATGATATATCCAAAGTTTGAAAAGAAAAAAACTGCCAGCCGAGAATGCTATACCCAGCAAGACTATTTTTCAGAAATGAGGGAAAAATAATGTATTTTCCAAACAAACAAAAGCTGCGGGAGTTCATCACCAAACAACCAGCCCTACAAGAAGTCGTCAAGGAAGTCCTGCATCTGGATTGTAGAAAATGATAACTACTACCATGAATACACAATAAAGGACAAAACCTATAAGAACAAATATGTAAACAAGAAATAGAAAGACACATCTTACCACCACAAAAAATCATGTCAATGTAATAATGCCCCTGCTTTATTTCTGATTTTGGTAATTTTGGTCTTCTCTCTTTTTTTCTTGGTTAGTCTAGATAAGGGTTTGCGAAAGAAAGAAAGAAAGAAAGAAAGAAAGAAAGAAAGAAAGAAAGAAAGAAAGAAAGAAAGAAAGAAAGAAAGAAAGAACGAACGAAAGAAAGAAAGAAAGAAAGAAAGAAAGAAAGAAAGAAAGAAAGAAAGAAAGAAAGAAAGAAAGAAAGAAAGAAAGAAAGAAAGAAAGAACGAACGAAAGAAAGAAAGAAAGAAAGAAAGAAAGAAAGAAAGAAAGAAAGAAAGAAAGAAAGAAAGAAAGAAAGAAAGAAAGAAAGAAAGAAAGAACGAACGAAAGAAAGAAAGAAAGAAAGAAAGAAAGAAAGAAAGAAAGAAAGAAAGAAAGAAAGAAAGAAAGAAAGAAAGAAAGAAAGAAAACAAAAGAAATTAAATGTCAGGAGTTAAAAAAAAAAAAAAACATCAATAACAATCCTAAATGTAAATGGATTAAATTCCCCACTCTCAAGACACAGACTGGCTGATTGGATTAAGAAAGTAGACCACCCCACTACATGCTGTCCACAGGAAATTTGCCCCACCTGTAAAGACACACACACAGACTACTAGTGAGGGAATGGAAAAAGATATATGACACAAGAGGAAATCAAAAACAAGGAGGAGTAGCTATTCTTATATTGGGTAAAATAGGCTTTAAAT